ACTAAAAACGTATCCTATAGCAAAAATAAGGAGGGTTTTATTGATGGTGGGCCAAAACATTCTAATGACTTTAATATTCTGGCAGGTGGTCTTCTCCAACATCATTCATCTGGAATCAAAACTAATGTAAGAATGATGTGGACAAAGGGACCATCATGTTTTATTGAATTGTCATAGCTATAAAATCCCTTTTAAAAAATATAACACCAAAAAATAAGGTGACGTTGATTGTATGGCCCGAACCTTCCATGGGTCTTTGGGAGGTCTGCCTCTTCTAATACACACCCACATGTCACACACGACCTACCAACCTAAGTGGCTGTGCGTCATGGCACCGATATACGACCGACCGGGCACGACCTACCCGGCCACACGTTCGGACGTGCGGACGACGCGGACTGGCGGACCACCCGGGTGGTCCAAGCAACAAACGCGGCGTTTGAAGCTTGGGCGGTGGGTCTTGACTCTTGATGTAGACTCTTGATTAGTAAACCCCCCATTTGAATCCACAAATCCTCTTCATAGGGGGGTGATCAATCAATAGTCTGCATTATTCTGTCTTTATATGGTGAAAAATGTTGCACCGCCAGTCTTTTCTTCCACCAACTCTGAATTGCAATGTCCAGTCTGAAGCTTGAACCCAAATGGGTTGCTTCTCTTTTGCCACTCAGATGGCCCGAAAATGCACCGATCAATTCTCTTAGATTTGTCTTCCTTGGCCCCGCTTCACACAGTCCAACCAATCGCTGTGCTCCAAAGGATGTGTCTAGTTCCCCGAATCAAGAGAACTACAGCTTACAGCCACCTTCCCTCCCGTCCTTCATTGATCTTTGGAACCCCATTGTGGTCGCATGTGCACCAGCCCCATCAACAACACCCTGGAAGTGGAACACTTTGGCCCCTCATGCATGCACTTTCCTCTACACGTGGGGAGAACCCGCACGCTCCGCTTCGAGAACCGTCCGAGGGAGAACCCGCCCTGCGATCGGCCCAGCGGCTGCCAAGCGCGTGAAGCGGTCCTGCAATACAAACGAGTCACTCAGGCAGTGAGTCCCCTCAGGGGCGACGAAGCTTTCCAGCTGGCCACTTCTATAGAGGGCAACTAGTTTGATTGTATTTGGACACATTATACTGCAAGCATCTGCAACCTAAACTTGCTTTACTACTACACTTGCATTTTTGCCTTGCTGGGAGAGCAAGCGTGGTCCTACTTTCCGATAGTTCATGTCAGAATAGTCACCACCTCCAACACCTCCAACACCAGCATTTCGTTGGAAGGTCGTGTCGGATTGCGTTGCAGCAATTGGACTGGCTGCAGCAGCATGGATCGGATAGTTCACGCCTTTGCCAGCGGATTTCCTTCTTCGCATTGGAGCTGGATGGTGAGCGAAGTTGAACGAGTAGAGTGAGCGCAGTGAGTAGAGTGGCCCTTTTGACATGGGAATCCAACTGTTTTTTCACACAAGTGAAGGGACATCTCTGAAGAACACATCAAGAAGAACCTCTTGGGTCCGGTCAGGACCTCTGAACATGTCTGAACCAACCACCAAAAAACAGAGACAAACAAGCCTTACGCGGATTTGTCTCATCAAGACTGACCCCACCTTCGATTCTGCCCACCGTTTTGCTCGGACCATGGCAACACTTCTCCGCGACGGAAAACGCCGAATGTCTCTGGTCCTTCTTCTCGACGAAGCTTTCCTGCAGGAGCGAGAAAACACCGAAGAAGAAGGAATCCACGGAACGTGGTCACGTGGTACGTGAGAATCCATGTAGCTCTTTACAAATTCGCTGCGTTCGCAGAGTCCTTGTCACTTGCATGTGTCCAGTTCTTACGTTTGAAGTTTCAATATATTTCAATCAAAGGTGCACACGTACGACGGCACGCGTGGCAATGCTGACCCTAATATTCTCCTTGCGGCATCTTGCAGCTCTACTTGATTTCCAGATACTATACGTACCCAGTACTGTCCAGCACCCTTCCGCCTCTTCCTTCCACACACCCCACCCTCCCTCTTCGGTTTCACCCCGATCGCATTCCGCTCGCTCCGTTTCGGCTCCACTCGCGTCCGAGCGTCACGCAGAGCCATCTCCAGCACTCGGAACTCGAAGGGCGGTCCCGGCGACGAAGGAGAGGCCAACTCCGTCTCCAGGCACCTGCGGTCTCGTCGGGTTCCGAGTCAGGTCCGGTGGGACGGCCCGGCGGTCCCGTGGTGCCGGGGAAGTCAGGACGCGTCGAATTAAGGCTTTATGCCCCAGATGCAGAGGTTTTACCCATTCAAATGGATGTATTCATGGTTCATCAAGAGACGACAATGTCTACATGATGTTCTTTTGTGTTCGTTGCTTCCAATTGAGACCGCCCACTCTCCGTCGCACACTGGGCTGACATGTTGCACCATTTTTCATCGAAAGACAGAAGACGCAAAGGATGCGTTCATGCAAACGGACGTCCACAAAGCTCCTACTCGACAAACACTCGCACGGAAACTAAGCTTGACAGACGGTCGATCAAGCATCACAAACAAAAGGCGACCATGTTGCCACCAGCGACGCTGGTGTTTCTTCCATGCGCGAAGAAGTGGTGAATCCACCGACCCCACCGGGGCGGTGTGTTCGAGGTGGCCGGGGCCCACGCTCTTTCCCCGGGACAGGTGGCTCCTCCGTGATCTCTCTCTCCTGTCTCCACCGGTCTTCCGGGCCGCCCGCGCCTGCTGAAGAGCTCCGCAGCCCGGCCGTTGCCCTCGTTGAGGATCATCACCGAGTCGCTCCACACACATCCTGAGCAGAAAGCGGTCCCACCCGAGTCGGCCGGTCCGGCAGCTGCGAAGGGTGGGTCCGGGGGGCTCTGAGTGGCCATGAAGGAGCAAACAGTAGGGGGGTTGTCACGAGACCACACCACACACACGACAGAACCAGGCCTAGACGGAGGCGCCTAACCGGAGGTATACTGAAATCTGCCCACAGCATGCAGCTGTGCAGAAAAGAAAGACTGCCAAGCAGGCCAGTATGTTCGATTCACCACGTGCACTTGCGCAACGGTGCACTTGGGCAACGGCCGGTGAAGGGAGGAAGTCGAAACATGAAGTAGTCCTGACATCCCAGGTTCCATGCAGGGTGGGGTTGAACCTGAACGAAAAGGAATCAGTATACAGATTCTTGCTGGCCTCCTCTGGCCGAAAATGCAACTGTCTTCGGGTCCAGCATCTGCAACGTTGCAACTGGATGTGAGATCTTTTTTTGCGGTTGCGCTTGATCGCAGAGTTGGAGTTGGTCCTCGGCAACCGCCCCTTATTCACCTCGATGCACCCCGCCCCCGAGCCCCCGAGAGGCTCCTGTCGGATGGACAAGTGGGCCCCTTTCGTCCCAAAGAGCCTCACATCTCGAGCCGTCAAACCTCGGTTTGGGAAGCGAAGGCGACAGGTGGGAAACCGGGCATAACGGTGGCGTTTGGACCTTGACAGCTTTAAGAATCCATCGAACTCCTAGTATAACAGTCTTCAGTGTTGGCGCGCCCAGGACGAATTGCTGCTTGCGAGCGCGAAAGTTGATTACTTGGGGCAAATGCATGGTACATCGTGCAAGATGGGTCTACAAACCACACCTAAATTAAGTTAAAATAATGTGTTGTGTGTTTCTGCCAAAACCAAGAACCTTGGTGCAAGTTGGTAAGTGTCTGAAGTGTTTAAACGATTGTGAGTAGGGATTCAGCTTGCAAACTTCGGCATGGAGTTGGTATATTGCCACTTTAGTAAAATGCCTGTTCATATTAATATAAAGGACATTGCGAGTTCAAACCAACTGATACCAAAGTCAGTAGCTTTCGGTTAGCGCCTATGGGCATGCTAGTGGCTACTAAACAGTGCCTGCACAAGCAAATTGTCTTATTGAAGTAGGAACCGCCACAAATACGATTTCTGGGGGTTCGTCAAACTGCAAGGTTTCGGCCGGAACTTCACCTTCTCCGATCCCTGTCAGCTTCGGCCCAGAAGCCAAAGAGCAACATCAGTTCTTTGGATGTGCCTGGCGTGAGGAGGGCAGTTCCTTCCGCGAAAAAAACAAAGACAGAACCAACAAAGATGGGTACACCATCTGTTTCCCACCCACGGAACCGCAAGTGTAAGAAGCACTCACCTCTGCTCACCCACCTTTCAAAGAGACGGCCACACGCGGTGGTTTCCCCTGCCCACACGGCGCCCCGCAGGGCGGGTGTGGTTTTCGTTTCTCGCCACGTCACCGGCCTTGCTTCTCTTCGATCTTTCCATCTGCCCAGAAGAGCGTCAACCGGTGCATCCGGCTCGTGGCGATGCCCCGCGGCCCGATGAAAGGCGTGCGGGTCGCCCAAGGCCGGGCCCGGAAGCGCGACCAAGAGGCCCGGGGTCGCCATGGCATCAGGCGGCCGTTTGGGCGGGCGGAAAGGCGCGAAGTCGCTTCCCGGTGTGGGTTGTTCTTCCACTCTCATCGAGCAAGATGAAGCATGTGAAAAATGTTCTTTGAGTTTAGCACGAAGCAGCCCCGTGTTGCATAGATGGCCCAGATGGCTTGATTGCTTGGCAAGCACCGAGCAAAGGTGTCCATTCCGTAGGTTCCCCAAATGTCTCGAGTCTCAACAATAGAGTTTAATGTCTGTATGCAACGCGATGCAACCAAACCTGTCGATCCTGTCTTGCTGATTCTTGGACCTGTCAGTCTAGGACATTCAGACGGTTCTGAAAGTGGGCGACGAAGTGCGCTTCACGCAACTTCACGGAACTTCCGCGTGTTGGTCAGCAAACTGTTGGCCTAGTTGGGTCTACGACGTCGAGTGATCTGAGTCGGTTCATGTCGGTTCGGTTCTCGTACCAATCGACTCATTTCTCAGTCTTATGTGTCAAAAAACCTTTCATGACAAGCTGCTCTAGACTCTAGACTCTATATATTACGAGTACTTGTCTGAATCTGTCCAAGTAATCTCCCTCCATGTCATCTCACCCCGCTGTTCTCTCCGTCAAGCCCCGCTCCTGCTTCACCCAATCCCAAAGGTGCAGCCGGTTGATGCGCACAAACCTTGACTCTTGACAGGACTGGGGGGCCCTCCCTCTTATGAATGGCAAGGAAAACGACACGACAGTGACACTGTACAATGCGACACGCTTGGCGTGGAGTATGAGTTATAAACTTCCTGTGCAAGGAAAACGATCCTCCCAAGTGACACCCAGTCAGCAAACACCTTTCGGTTGCTTCTGCATCAAGCGGGGAAGAAGAATATGCCCACATCTTGACAATCTGCCCCTTCCTCACATCTAAAATGGAACTCTGCAGGTAGCACCGGATCCGGGGAACAGCTACATGTGTGAAACGCGCTTCAAAACGAACGCAACCAAATTCCTTGTGCCATGTTTTTTTGGCTGAAATCAACCTGCGATCACCTGTGTGGATGATAGATCGCAAGCCTAAAAATTAATCATAAGGGATCACAAACCCGGAAAAAAGGAGCCCCAAAAAAGGGAATGAACCAACTGCATTTTGGCCGCCCACTGCACCACGGCCCCGCGCCCAGGTGATCCAAACCACCGCATCCGCATCCGCGCCGCGCCGCGCCGCTCCGGGGCTTCCCGGGCTCGCAGCGCTTCTCGAGCACCGTGACGGCTCTGGCGACGTGGAATTCACGGGGACGTTTGTTGCGCGGCGGCGTGGCCGGCGGGGCGGGGAGGGAGGGGAGAACAACGGATTCAACGAAGAAAGTGGTTGTTATGTTTGGGTTGGGATTTGGATGGGTCTTTTTGTTGGACTTGCCCCAACAATGGGCTGGGGACACAATTGACAAGTGACCTTGGAATGTTTCAGTGTCCGAGTATCCCTTTTGGGAGAGTTGAGTGAGACAAATGAAGGAAAGAAGGAACTGAAAGGTTGCTTCAGTGACAGGGTATGGAAAAGGTTGTTTCGAAGCAAAGCACAGCTTGGTAATGAACAGGGTTGCTTTGTGTCGTTGCACCCACCCACGGTCCCCCCAACTTCCAGGCGGCTGCCCAAAGCATCCACAACAAAGAAAACGCCTACCCATCATTGGATTGGTTTAAGGAAAAATGCTAAAGGAAACCATGGCTTTCACGCCCAAAACGATGGGTTTCTTCCTGTTGATGTTCCCTTAAACCAATCCTGGGATACCGCCCAACCCCAGCACTTGTCGCCCAGCTGGTCTGCTTGTTCCAAGTCACGCGCCGGCCAGCTTCAGCTGCAACGCAATGCGAAGCCCGACCTGGGCTCCGCCAGGGAGTGTGGCGAGTTCAACTCGAAAACGTCACTGGAAACACAGAAACGGGAATCTATACTGGAGTCGGTAGAACTAGGGAGCATGAGGGTTCGAGCAAAACGGAGCTTCCTCAAAACGACGTGGGGATTGACACATGGCCGTTTTCGCTGTGGTGTCCAACTCCCCAATGACTCAATCCTCACTTTGACTGGTGGTTGAGTGTCCACTCCAGCCCAAAGCCACTGGGAACCCAAGCTGGCCCAGCACCCACCTCAGCACCCAAGGAGGCACGGCTTGTCAGGCATGTCAATCAAGCAGTCTGGTGGGATGCCCTTGCACTCTGAAAACACACGAAACCACACTGGCCGCTAGGCAGTCGTGGATGCAGCAGCTAGGAACTCCACCACAGCAAGAGACTTTCCTGGCTAGAAGAGTCATTGGCATGGGTCACGAGTCACAAGGCCTCATGATAGCAGACTCCATATTCGTGCACGAGACCCCGATTGGATCAAGAGTAGGGATTTCTTCTCCTTTGCACAACCAAGCTGAGCAGTTGGTGGTCAGAAGAGGTCAAAAGCTGACCTTGCAACATGCCGCCAGGATCAATCAGCTCGCGGAAGGCTGAAGTCTTGGAGCCAGCAACAAGCTCCCAGCTTTAAAACTTTAGTTGAGCAACTCCAGGAGACTTGTCTTGCAGGGAGAACCCTTATCCCCCCTCCGGTCCTTGAAGCGGCTTGGCCTCGGACAGCGCGGGCGGGCCACTCATTCATTCACAGGTGGTGCGGGCTGACCAATCATCGTGCCACCGGGTGGCCTGGACCTCCACCGGCTGGGCCACCGGGCTTGATGGTCCTCCTTCTTCACTTGAGCATCAAGCAACTGCCACACCTGCGATGCCCGGATGCCGAAGTCGATGTTTTGGATGCGAAGGAACTCGACCTTGCCATCTGACTCAGAACTCTCCGTGGTGCGGCAACTTCTACCAAGAGGTGGTCAGTGGGCAATCTACATGTTGAGGAGGTCGTTTAGAAAAAAGGGTGGTCCAGAGGCCGCAGCGCAGGGTGTCATCTCGCGTCATCACCAGATCCGGGCCAAGAGCTTTCAATTATGTCCAAGTCTTTTTCAAGTGGAATTATTTTAAAGGGCTTCCATCGCTCTTCTTCAAGTCACGTCTGACCATCACCAACACTCCCAATCCAAAGGACTCCAAAAAGGAACACCAAATTCGCATCCCACAGCCTGCTGGGCTTTCCAGGGAAGGCCAGGCCTTTGGCCGTTTCGTTTTTCTGCTTCGTTCGGCTGTGCATTGGAACACGGAGACCCACCAAACAATGTTAATTTTGGGTGTAGGTCGTTTCTCGCACAAGGATACATGCAATGGCTTCCCTCAGCAAAGGGTTTTTTGGTGGACATAATTAGACAAAGCCTCAGCCACGCTGCAAGTACACTGTACAATGCAAAAACCAAGAACAAAGTTCTACCAACAACACTTGAAAAAATCAAGAATTGTATGGAATTGTATTTTGGCACAACAGGACGCCATGCCACTTTCAAAATATCTGTAGGGCGTCGACTCTGGTGAAAGTATAGCCAAAGCCTATTTGCAACGCTCCGGGAGTCGTCTCGAGGCGACGTAGTGCTCCCCAATCATCGGTGTGAGTCTCAGGCTATGTTTGCTCTTCGCAAAGGTCTTTGAGGAGTCTCCCTAGCAGACATTGGACTTTTCTTTTGAGAAGACACCGAAGCCCGAAGCGCAGAAGATCGACCACAAACCCTCCCAACAGGAGCTCGGACAAGCTCCTGATCTTTTGGTATGGCAGGACCTGCGCCGATGGTCCCAAGTGTGTTTTTTGTCTCAAATCATGGTGTGCCAAGTACCGTTGCAAAAATATATATATATATAAAAAACCATCACTGTGTGGCTATGCTCCTCGGGGCTCTTGTGCGGTTCTGTGGGTCAGGCAGCGGCCAGTCACGGCACGGGCAGGGCCATGGCCGTGCTTCCCTTGTTGTCTTTTGATGGCACAGGTTGACAGGTGGTCATGTTTGGAAAAATAACCTTCCGCATGTCTTCCCAACAAACGGCAGGCGTCTTGAGGCGAGGACATGCGAGGACTACTATTAGCAACTGCAATGGAAGCTTCCCGCACACGAAAGGCAACACCCCTGCTTCCAACCTCCTTGCCATGAACCTTGCCGCTTTCTTCCTGGCAACTCGTTCGCCCACTCTCGATGGGGCGTCGCGGCGTGGCTCCGAAAAGTGCCCAGAAATGTGTTGCCCCAAAAGCCTGGCTGGCTGGTTGAAGAAACATGTGAACTCTACACGACCATGTGAACTCTACACGACAAGATGATCTTCGAATACCATCTCTCTTTTGCATGGGTTTCGTACCAACGGCCGACAAAGTGGCTCCTACCGCAACTAGCAAAGGCCCCGGAGCATCAAGCCGCCATGACATCTACAAACTGTTCAAGAAGGTATCAACGTTCGGTGGCAGAAACCATTGCAAAAAAGCTGCATCACTCCCCAAGACATCCCACGACCATGCTGGCAACGGCGTTGCAACAGCTCGTCAGGCGTTGCAACTGCCTCACTCCCCGCCGCGGTTCGGTGGCTCCTCGTGGAGCTCCACGCACTTCAACAAGTAGCGGAAGCCTCTGTGTCGCTCCGGAGAGACAAGGAGCACGTCTGGGTGGAGGAACTCAAAGGGTTTCGGGTATGTGATCCAGCCCTATTAGGGTGGCCATCTGGTGCTTCAGCTTCCGGAGCCGGTCTCTCGACGTCGATGCGCCGGCACGGTCTCGACGTCGATGGCCTTCCGCGATGGCCGACACCGACCGCGCGTCCAAGAAGTGCTTCAATGCCGTGGGCGCCTGGTGCTGATCCGCAGGAGCCAACACACGGCAGGACGCAGTCAGACGCTACAAACAATAGGGGCATCGCTACGAACGTAGCTCCTGGCCTTACTACTAGGAACAATAAAGCTACTATTTGCTTCTGCAGCTTCGCAGTGTTTTGCAATAAGATCTGTTCTCCTGGCACTGGAATGTGTGCTGTTGCCTACACACCTTTCTCCTGACTTGATTTGCATACTAAAGCACACCTTTCCACGCCTTCTCCAAGCTCGCCGTCATGTCCGGAGGCTGGCAAACAGGGTGGAGCGCAGTGGCTTGTGGTGTGAAAAACCAAGTATACCAAAACATACCAGAACAAAGTAACATAGTGGGCAAAATAGATGAGGGTTGGAGTTTTCACCACGGAACTTTCCATCTTGGAAATGTTTCCAGTCCCAACTCAAAAGAGTTCCAACTGTTTGACTCTCTCAAGGTCCATCCAAAAAGGAAGCCATGTTCAGGAGATTAGATCCCAGGCGGCAGCAAACGGTTCCTGTTAGCGGAGGATCTGATGCATGGCATCAGCTAGTGAGAACAAACAAGTCTTCAAGCCAAGCTGTTGTGGACCCCACCTTTGCAAGCACGAGAGTCTTTGCTATAAAATGCTTAATTGGTGTCACAGCTGCTCTCATCGGCTTCAATCTTCTCTGCAACCTCGTCGAACCTTGCAGTCTGGTTTTCCCCGTGTTCAACCGATCCATTTGTGAAGCCTATCCACCTAATTCAATGGGCAATTGGGTGAGTCTACCGCTACCTAGTACGAGTAATACCGGGTGTTCCACCACATGCGGCCCCGGCCGCCCAGCCAGCACCATGCCTCTGATTGGCTGCGGCACACGGCCGCCTTTGCCTGGCGCCATGGGGGGTAGAGGACGCTACGCACGTAACAAAGGGCACGAGGGATCCATGGCACATGAGGAATCAATGGCACCACGTGCAGAAAAGGCACATGGCAAAATCTTCGACTGGAAGGCACTGAGGGATTGGTAGCTCAATGACTCCATGGGATTGTCATACATCACTGGTAGCTCGAACGAAGGTTAACTCAATGCCTGATTCAACATCCAAAAAATGCTTTTGAGAAACTCATCTCACAGTAGTCACAGTACCCCAAAGCTGTTGATGCATCTCGCCTGAGTCTCTCTGTTCTTCGGGTCATCATCTGTCTGCGCAGCTTCTGGAGCCTGTGCATGGGCAAGAGCTCAGTTCATCGTCCCGCTGAATGAATGACTAAAAACTGTTTTTACGCTCGCTTCACACAAAGCTCTGGTTGAACATCCTCGAAATATTCTCGAATCTGACATCTACCGTGCTAAACAAGCAAGAACAAGAATCCATTCTAGAACCTCTCTCTCTCGCTCTCTCCCCCTCCCAACTGCTCAAGTGACTGACTGTATGAAACTGCATCTTGGGCACGCAAAGCCACAATGTGCTTTTGAATGTAGTGGCATCTCATTTCATCATCTATCTAGAGTACATGGATATGTGCTGACCTTCGCCTTGGGCGCGGCCTCAATCTGCACCTCCACCGCTTCGCATTGGTTTCACGGTCATCGCTCCAGTGGGTGGGTTCGGCTCGGGTTTGACAACCTCGCCCCCTTTCACCGGAGGAAGTCCAAATCAACTGGGGCCAAACCTTTGACCAGTCTTGCCCAACCAAACCACACTTGTTCTTGCGGCTTCGGGGGGGCTAATCATCTTCATGGCCATGCTCACTGTCTGTGCCTTCCGGACAGGGCGCTCTGGTGGTGAAAAGGCGGGTGCCTGGTGCGAAATCGCCGCTTGCTGAAACTGAAAGGTTTCGGGATGGTGTTGAGCTCAAACGCCAATCTCAAAAGTGGACAAAAAGGGATCCGGCAGCTCGTGATCTTGACACGCTCTGGCCACTCCTCTTGGGCTGTGGGTGCCGATGGCACTGCTAGTGCTGCGGCTGCTGGCGCAGCAGCCAGCTCCGGCACAGCCGCAGCTCCTTCACAAGCCAGCTGGTATTCCAATGCCATCAGCAAGTGGTCCAACCATTCCTAGCACAGCACTACTCTGGTTTCTCGTCACCCAACCAATCACCCAACTGGAGATCTGAACATGGCACCATCGGAGCCTCGGACGGCTCGCCGCCGACGGCTCGCGCGACGCGCCTGGAGCGTCGCGCAGAAGCTCCGAGGCGGCCTCGACCTCGGCGATCGAAGCGACCGGTCAGGTCGTGACCGAAGCACGTGGAACGAAGAACACATGACCAAAGGCGAGTAGGGAATCTGATCACGCAAATCCCGTGTGCATCTTGCACTTTCCTGCAGACCCTCCCTCGTGGGCCCAAGAGACAAGAGACCCTTTCATCCCTAAGAGGCCGGGCGATATTCTGGAGCCTTGCGCAGCGAGGTTTTCTGCTGGCCCACGTGTCGGAAATGAACTATTTTAAATATAAAACATAGAAAACAAATATAGAGAGAGGGATATAATTTAATATATATATATATAGAATGATATAGATATACTGTTCGGAATGAGAATGTCTTAATGTCTGGTATCCGTTTTGTTTTCGACCAGGCTCAGAAACTTCTGGCATGATTCTTTACAGGAAATGTCTATAAAGCAGGTACGGGGAAGGCTCTATCTGTGGAACTCTCCCACTACCTGCAGCGACAGCCAAAAGTATCGAATTAGCGGACCAAGCCGCTCAAAAGTTGCAGTCAGCTGCAATGTCTTTACATAAGGCTCTTGTGGCTTCTTCAAATCGCCAAACTCTGCAGGCGGCTGTATCCTTCTGTTCGGAGTAGCTGCTACCTGCGGCACGGCCATGCCAACTCATCTCCAATATCCGTGGCCCCAGTGGCGGCCCCCGCCCCGTCGGCCCCAGCGGCGGCCCCCGCCCCGTCGGCCCCAGCGGCGGCCCCAGCGGCGGCCCCCGCCCCGTCGGCCCCAGCGACGGCCCCCGCCCCAGCCCCTACCACCACGTCGCCAGGCAACGAAGGATCTTGCATCCTCAGGCGCAGATGCAATATCAATCTCTTGTGGCTCGATGTCATCCCAGTCACCCTCCCATGGCTGAGGGGGGCCTTCCATAGCATAGGCATAAGGAACCGCCTCCCAGGGAGCTTGGCCTCTCATCTCATCAATGTCACCCCAACCCCACTCCCATGGCGCGGGGCCACCCCTCATGCCACTCACGTCAATCCATTCCCACTCGCCGTCTACTGGCTCTGCATCTGCCGGTCCAACTGGAACACGAGCACTCGGTGCGTCAGCTGTCTCTGATGCTTGGCTCTCCTTTGCTGGAACTCCAACAGCAGCTGGGGCAGGCGGATCCACCG